TGTTTTATTTTATTTTTTAACATTTTTTTCTTAATTTTTATTACATTTTTTTGTAAGCAAAGGTCCATTTTATTGGGGTGGTGTGGGGGGCCTCCATGTACCGGTTTGCCTGGGATCCCTCAGAACCGGGTCGCCCTGTACAGAAGAGCTATTAAGTGTTCCTCTGGGATGAGACTGGACCTGTAAAGAAATAACGAGCTGAAAAGGACTAGAATGTATTTTGTAAAGTTTAGAAAATAATGTGAAGAACATTTCCGGTAAGCGGTCCATCGCCGGATATGACGTGTTATGTTTGCGCTCGGCGACGGTGGTCGACGGAGTGAAGCTAGCTTTAGCTTCTTAGCGATAGCCTCGTTTTTTACCCTCAGCAGGTGATTGCTCTGTATTTGCAGCTCCGCTACCATGCTGTGAGCGCTCCTCCACTACTCATCTATCCTAGAAGAACCAAACTGCGTCTTTAGATCGACCGAGCTGGCGGTCCGCTGTCCAGAAGTCATGTCCAGCCGTCTAGCCTTCCAGACCCAGCTGGCCTCCATCATGGAGGTTCTGGCTAACGCAGCGGTGGCGGAGATCTGCAAGCTGGTGGACGACGACTACGCGGTGGTGAGTCTGCAGATGTCTCAGTGCCAGAGAGAGAACAAAGCCCTGAAGAGGAAGCTGCATCTGCTGGAGCTGAAGATGGCTCGGGGGAATGCCGAGAGGAGGCTTCGGGAGAGCGCCATGAACAGCAGCAGACCCAAGGTGCAGATCAGCACCGGCGGTGGTCTCCAAGGATCCTCACCGTCCACCGGTAAGAGTCCTGGAGGAGGGATGCCTCTATTCCGAACCCATGTCGGTGTTAAAGTGTGAGCGTGAGGAGAAGCGGGACCGTCCAGCCCGGTATCAGCTGGCAGGAGTTAGACCTGGAGCTGCCCTGATCTCTGGCCTCCAGTCGCTCACCCAGAATGATTAATACTGACCCAAAAAAACCTGCTCCACATCAAGTCATTCACTCCTTAAACCGACTGGAGCTGCTGTGGAGGTGTTTCAGGTTGGGCCGGGTGGTGCTGAGCAGCAACAGGTCACAGAACTGGTACCATAGGAGCTCAGCTGACGGGTCAGAACAGCTAGAAATAAATAAAATAGAGCCACAAACTGCAGCAGGATGAATGCACACAGGCCAGGTAGGACAACAGGACTGTCCTCACTGCTTTGGCCCAGAGTCCCCCCAGACATCCAGAGTCCCCCCAGACATCCAGAGTCCCCCCAGACATCCAGAGTCCCCCCAGACATCCAGAGTCCCCCCAGACATCCAGCGCCTGTCACACAACCAATATATATATATACATGGTGGTTCTGGTTTGGTCCAGTCTGACTGCCTCCACATTCATCAGCTCCTCCATGGTTCAGCTCATCATGTGCAATAGTGTCATTTAAACTGTTTCCTAGTGTGTTATTTGGTTTATGTCTCTTTTCACAGCACTTTTTGTTTACGTAGTACTTTTATACTTTTACGTATTTTATTTAGAGTGTCTTATACTTCTATATTTATGTCTGTCCTGTTACTGTTGTGTACCATCTCATTCATCACGCCACAGTCCTTGTAAAGCTTCTGATTATTGTCGACAGCAATAGGCGACCCAGTAGAGGATAAAACGGTCGAGACATGCTGATGGATGATGTGTTGGAACACAATGCATCTAAATCTTTAAATCCAATCGTTAATTTACTCTTTCCATCACTGCACATGTTAAATGGGTGTGTTCAGTAAAGACACAACAGACTGTAAGAGGTTCTGGTACTAGCTTTAGCACAGTGACCGAGTGGACCCAGAGGTTAGCACGTTTTTTCATTGGTATGAGGTTTTTTTTTTTTTTTATCAGACGATGAGTATTTTTTAGATAGGAGCTGTTTTTTTGTAACCTTCATTAGGCTTTTAATTAACCTTTTAAAAGATCAATTAGGAGCCTGATGAAGATAAGAAAACTACTGCTTGTCTGATGAATAAAGAAACCTTCTACCTGTAATCAGAGCCGACAACATGAACCTGATCACTTTTTTTTCTCACCACTGAGAGACGGATGGAGACCATGTTTTCCACAAGGCAGGTAAACTACAGGACCTATAGAAATGACTGAGTGGTACGACCCAGTTCTGCTAGATCAGAGTGGTTCTGGTGGCCTGACAAAGACACTAAGGCCTCCTTTCACTGTGCTGTCCTATAATGATGACTACTCCTCAGCAACAACACGCTGTGGCTCATTGAAACTGTTCTGCTGTCGTGTAGATGGTGCGTTTGAGCGGCAGGTGGATGTGGCTCTGTGGTCTGGCAGAGCTGCTACCAGGGATGCAACCAGTGAGCTGATCCTCTCTGAGAGCATCCAGAGGAAGGTGAGCACACCACTAAGGAACCACTGCCTGTCTTTAAAGGCAGCAGTCTGGTGTTAGTGCGGGGCTGCTGCCGTGAGTGAGCACATGTACTGTACATCAATGTGACCCTGGTGTTTGCTGACAACCCTGGCTTGTTGTGTAGTCTCCAGGTGTGGAGTTGGTGGAGGCGGAGGCGTTAGTGGTGAAGGAGGAAAAGGTGGAGGCAAACATGTCACGAGTTGTAGGGACACAGGAGGATGTGCCGCTGATAGGAGATGATGGTGAGTACAGACAAAATAACACAAACCTTGTCCAGCACTAGTGTTCCCTACTGAACATTTAGGGAACACTTAAATCAACATACAGTGCATACGCTTCTATTGTCTTAGATTAGAAGGTCATAAGATGCATCCTTACACACAGTAATGTCACAGTTCAATTAACACTAGATATGACTTCAGTAGCTCCGTGTCTTTCCTGTTTGGTCCTGACTGATACTGGTTCCATCTCACAGATCGTTTCTCACTAATTAATGAAACTGCAGCTGTTGTGTGTAAATGGAGACGCTGATATTGATCCAACGCTGCAGGTCTTTAATAAACTCAGAGGAGAGACTGCTACAGGCAACTGGACACAAACGCAAATGTTCTGTCACAACCTGAATGTCTCATCAGTAGAACCTGTTCCAGGCTCTCTCCTCCACTGTAGTATATAAACTAGGTGGATCTGAAGGAGTCAGTGGTGTCTCTGACCAACTCCAGCTCATGCTCTTGTTGTGTATTGAGTGTTTGCAGGCGTGTCGGTAAACTAGGGCTGGTCCGAATAGCAATTTCTGATCTCCAGACATTCGGTCCCAATTACTGACGAATATCCCGAACGCACAGGCTGTACTTGGCTGCTGAGACCAGTTTCTGTGTTTGGGTTAGCGGTGACGGCTCCGTTTCCGTGGCAGCGCGGATATTCGGAGGTCAAGTCTGATATCTCGATTCCAGCACAGTGAACGAATAGTCGGCTATTTGGCTGTTTGGGTCCAGCCCTACAGTCAACGTGGTTTTCCCTGCACATGTTGGGCCGCACCAGGAGCACCACGTGATGCAACATACAGCATCTTTACCTCAGCTATGTAAGATGTGTAGCTGATTCTCTGCCTTGTTCAACTCCACATCACCTGATGAAACCACATCTGGTGTCATCAGTTTGTTCAGTTGTCATCAAAGGGTCGGCTGAAAGCGAGAAAGCTCGTGGACTGGACATCGGTAGTGGAGAATCGTCCACGTCCTGCTAGACGGTGCAGTTAGCGCATCAATGGCTCCTGTTCATGTGTTCCTAACAGGCAGTGTGTCCGCCCAGAGTTTAAACTGCTGAGTCAGTGGTTTTACGGATGCTGTACAGATGCCATCCGTCCAGTCTTCTTCCTGTGACAGTCATGCTTTGTGATAATGCACCGAGATACGTTTTCAGTCTTGTACATAGCCAATAAAAAAACTGGAGCAGGACTTTAGAGATGACGTATCGCAGATCAGATCCGATGTTTCCTGCTTCAGACCTGCATCCTGTATGACTGACCCTGACCCTGGTGTCAGCCGTCCATTCTGATCAGCTGTCGTCTCATTCAGACACACCGATTCTATCGTGAGGACTTGAAAACATAACTAGGCGCGTATGTGCAGGTCTCCCTGGTTCTCCTAGTGAATCAATGTATTTACATGTTTATAGCGCTGTCCCCAGAACCCGTCGACATGTGACCCAGTGGTTGCACCGTGGACCCTGATCTGCTCTGCCTCAGGATGGCTGATCAGGGACCAGCTGAGTGTCTGCAGCACAAAGCGATGACAGAACAGTGACAGGTCCCCGAGGTCGACCCGTGGTTAGCTTATGAGCTGGTACGGTTCTGCTGCTGTCTGGGCCTCAGTTTGGACACACATGCTCTTTTATTTCCCAAATTATTTTCACTCGTTTCTTTTGGCCGTTTCTTTGTGTTGTGGAAATCCTGGAAGAGGTTGATGTAGGATGAGGAGCCCGACACAGAGACACACCGCAGACTCGATGACTCGGGGTGAAATAAGGCTTACTGATGCATCAGGGGAAGTGACGCCAACAGCATCAGCTCTAAAGATCCCTCTCACACCTTCAGTCTTACGTCCTCCCTCAGTGGGAGCCACGTCCAGATTTATGGGAGAAAGGGAAGCAAAGATAAGTCGGTGCCTGGGTATCATCTGGCCTTGAGAGGTGCAGGCTGTCCTCCTACCACGACGTTTACGTGAGGTCAAGAATCTATAGAAGCTACAGCACATCTGCTCCAGCTGCGTTTACCTCAGGAGGTCCATCCTTCGCAGGAGGTCCATCCTTCACAGGAGGTCCATCCTTCACAATCCCTCCTTTTTGATGGAAGCCAACAGAAACACTAACTAAAGGGAAAATGACTAATTATCAATGAGTTTAGGTGAGAGATCCTTCTGATCCACCCTGTATCACTTAGTACAGAGTCACATTCTCCAATGAAATACAAAGAGTGATATATGACATGTAGGTCAGAATAAGAATAAAACATGAATGAAGCAACAGACCGTGAGCAGGTAGGAGTGAAAACCCAGTGTGTTAAAGATCTCTGACTCCGGTGGTCCTGCTGCTTGTACTGGTACTGCTCACCACTCCACGACTTCAATGGTCATCTTATTGGTCCCTTTTATTTTTTTTAAACAAAATGAATTAAGAGCAATTTTACCGTTGCTTTATTTCCTAATATGTAGATGTGTAACTGGAAGTTCTTGAGTAGTGCTCTGTTGTTTCTGTATAAAGCTGTTGTTTAGAACCACCGTTATACTATAACATGTATATAAAATAAACTATTTACAGCGAAAGAAGCGGCAGTCTTCTGACTAAATCCCATCATATACACTAATCTTGAGGTGATGGTGTTAGTTCTAATGATCACAGCGTGTCACAGGCGTTACAACCTTAAACATGATGCAAAGCGTTTCATCAGGATTGTTCAGCAGCAGAAGAACTGTAAGCACTTTGAACGATGTGAAGTGCATCGTGCTGTTGTGGCTCTCACTCGTATTGTTGAGTACAAAACTAAATGCAGAACTGTTTGTTTGTCTGTCATAGTTTTAGTTAAGAAAACAGTTGAAGTGCTTCTTTGATCGCTGTCACCACCAGCGTTCAGTTAGAGCAGCGATGCTAATAATGGAAAATGCTGCAGAGGTTTGACCGTCTCAGGAAGAAGGAACGACCGCGGCCACCGGTCAGCAGTCAGGTGGTTGCTTCACATCGTTCACCCATGCTGGTATATTTTAGCTATAGCCAGGCTATAAACCATGAATCATCCACCTGAATGTGAGCTATTCCCAGACCATGGTCACTAGGAGCAGGGTGTGCTGCTCTGTCCTTTACCCACAGCCTTGGATTTGGACAGTGAAAATGTATCGTAGAAAATTCTTATCGTATCTTGGTAAACGGTAAATGGTCTGCACTGATACAGCTTTTTTCAGCAATTATTCTTGTTTCTTTTATTCTTTTATCAGCAATTTCCCTGAAGTCTCCACCAAAGGGATCAATAAAGTTCTATTCTATTCTTTATCCAAAGCGCTTTACAGTGTTTCTCATTCACACACATTCACACACTAATGGTGACAGAGCTGCCATGCAAGCTGCTGCCTGCCATCAGGAGCAGCTTCAGGTTCAGTGTCTTGCCCAAGGACACTTGGACTGTGGAGGGGATCGAACCGCCAACCTTGCGATTGGAGGACAACCTGCTGTACCACCTGAGCCGCCCTGTCTTACAGGTGTGGGAGTGGGTTACTCACCAATCAAGCAAGGCTGGCAGTCTGATCACCAGACGGTGTCCTCAGGCACGACACCAAGTCACCGAGTAGACCTCACTGAGCCACCACCGTATCACCAACATAACACTTCTTCATTTCTAAAGTAGCAGAGCCGCGAACGGTGGAGCTCGTTGGTCCTCCAGTGTGGACCCAGGAGCTCTCCAGCAGCTCAGAGGACTTAGTCCTCACTTTCTGTGTCACTCATCAGTAACTCTTCTGTTTTTATTGATGGATTTATTCTCTGTTCTTCCCCCATACCCTCTCTCTGAAGGAGTGCTGGAGCATGTCCCACGTGGAGCAGTAGGTCGGAGGCCCAGACTCGAACAGCACAACAGCCAGTCCACGTCCAGCCAGTCCCAGGTCCAGAGCCAAAGCCACGTCCAGATCCAAAGCCAAAGCCAGAGCCAGAACAGCAGCAGCAGCAGAGGAGTGGAGGTCAGTGGCTCCTCTCCTCTCCTTAAGTGTGAACTCAGTGGCTCTGTTGAGGGCAGACACTCTATCCAGGAAGCAGTAAACCCTCCCCGCTATGTCGATGACGGCAGCAGTGTGTTGTGTGACAGTGATAAACATGGTAACTCGTTGGTTGAGGGCTTTTTTGACGAGCCGTCGGGTGGTGAAGGGGAGAAAGGGAGACCGTCTTGTTCGTACTCACTGGCAGCGGCTGATTTCCCGTCGACCTCCTCCACTATGAACGGCTGGACTCATTACAGAGCTGCCTTCGCCCTGCCCCAGCCCTTCAGTGACGGCAGCACAGCGCCCCCTCGAGTCAGCAAGGAGAGACTGTTTGTCTGCAGCTACTGCGGTAAAGCTTTTAACCGGCCCAAGAAGGTGGAGATCCACCAGCGGGTTCACACAGGCGAGAAGCCGTTCAGTTGCTCTACATGCGGGAAGATGTTCTCAGAAGCCGGAAACCTGAGGAAACACCAGAGAGTCCACACCGGGGAGAAACCGTACAGCTGTGGGATGTGTGGCAGGGGTTTCGCCTGGATAAGGAACCTGAAAACACACCAGCAAAAGAGCCACCCTGAAATCTACACTGAAGAGGAGAACCGAGGACATGAATGAATGGTCTTCCTCCCTGAAGTCGACTGTAGGGGGCAGTAGTCCAGCAGGAGAACAAGACTCTGCTCGACAGAGTGAAGGACCTTCTTGGAGTGTTTTACCTTCTGTAGAATCACATATTTCCACAAGGAGCAGAACATGCTCAGAGGGTTTGGTTGACAGAATCTTTTGGACATGATGGGCTCAGAAGTGTCTGTAGTTCAGTGAATACAGCTCTGCCAGAGCAGTGTGAGGAGCAGAAGGGGTAAAACATGCAGCATTGTTTTTTACAGAAAGTCCTACCGTGACAGCCCTCTGCTGACGAGCCGGTAGCCTGGGCTGGTCGCCCTACGTCACATTTCAGGAGGTAAACTGAGTGAGTCACATGACAAACACTGTTACGAGGAAGGAGAGAGACACAATGTTCTAGACACTCAGAAACCATGTTTGGTACATAATCAGCCTGTAAAGGAGACAGTGAATGGGTCAGTTGGACCGGTGCCCCGTGCCGGACCATGAATACTGACTGAATTCATACGTAACATCAGTTTTTGAGTAAAGCACTCTTAGAGGGGTGGGGTTATGTGGATTTTGCATCGTTTCCTTCCTGCATACATGCAGAGCAACGTGAGAAATAATGCCACTAGGATCCTGAAACAGCACTGATGTGTACACCTGGTCTTCACCGGTGAGACCCTGCTCTGACGGAGTGATACAGACCGCCTGTATGATGGTGTTTCTGTCCGATATTTCAGCCATAAAACCTTTAAAAATGTCGGTATAGGGCCAGTCAGAGGCATAGACTGTATAACAGATGGACGTAGCTACATGACGTCACCCGTTGGTTTCTGCTCTGAGAACATGAAGCCAGGGTTTTGCTACTTCCTGGTTGACATCTTGGATTTTTGGAGCCAGTGACGCAAAAATCGTGGGAGGGGGGCGGAGCCATAGGAGCAGCGATTGGTCAGACGGATTGAGAGGCGGGCCCTCTCTGCCCGCCCACATTTACCGCCTTCTGCTCGCTTCGTCTGTATGGTCGCTGCCGACTGTCAATCAAGCCAGCCACGCCCCTTGGCCCACAACATGTTGATGATGTTTTAAAAATTCAGTATTGATTTATTTTCAGATTGGCCACCTGATCTCTGGATCTGACCATGAAAACTAATAAGAAAACAATCCTGAGCTGTAGGAATGCAGGATTTGGTGATCTGTGATCACATCTTTTCCAGTTCCAGTCTATGGGAGCCAGGGCTTTGTGGAGCCAGCAGCTAGTGGACGTAGTGATGCTGCAGGTTTCTGACACTTCAGGTTGGCTTCATGTTTCAGGGCCGGTTGCTACGTCCATCTTTTATACAGTCTATGGTCAGAGGCAGACTATGAGAGAAAGATTACGTTTTTTTTTTTTTTACATTTATGGCCGATATTAAAAGAGCCATTGAGCAGGTATGATAGGCTCCCAACTGGATAATAATTATACTGTTACACGGCTTTTCAACTCACAGTCCTCCGAACACGGTTATGAAAAGCGGTGCCATACGCAGTCACGTCCATGTTCAAACAGATTTGTTTAATGCTTGTAATGTCAAGTGAAGCATTCCTTGGATCACAGTGAACATCACGCTGTGCACATGCATCATAAACACTGTCTTCTATGTATACAGCTACTACTCACCGCACTAGGTGGTGTCATCCAGGTCATGGCAAGATTCACCGCAACTAAGTTTATCACAGACACAACAAACTTCTCTGCTGAAGCCGTTTTGCCTGATGATAGATGTTCAGACTGTAGGACATGTCCAGGAGCATCCATCTGTACGGTGGCCATCACTACTGCATACAGAGGCAGTGACATGGGAAACTCATTTTCCACCAATAACTGGATGGAAGTACTTCAGAGGAGGGAGCTAATGCTGACTGATTATCGCTGCCAGCTGTCCCACCACAGTGTTGCTCTGTGACCAACTCTCTGCTAACGAGCTTGTAGAGAATTAAAACCAATCTGGATCAATCAAGAACATACATGTCTGACATAAACCCATGATTGCTTATAGGCCCACTTCTCATGAAAATGTTGGAAGCACTACGAGTTGGAAAAACTCTTGGAAAACTTTTCCAGAAGGGAAACTATTGGAGTAGCTTCACCATCATACCTGCTCAGTTCAGATCAGATTTAGGCCATGAATGTAAAACACTAATAAGTCTTTCTCATGAAGTTCCTCGACATGTTTACGGCTCCTGTTGGTCAACAGGGAAAAAGGAGGAATTCTGCCTCTTTGGGTGAAAAATAAAGGTTTTATGGTGATGAAGTATCAGAATAGAAAAAA